ATTGCGATCGGACTGTTAAACTCTATCCAACTATATAATTTTTATATTTATTTGTAATACTTTTTCCGACATCATATTTTTGGGTGTTTGACTTGGACAGAGTCAAAATTGATTTGTTTGACCTTTACTATAAAAGGTGTTATATTCAATTCATATTATTTATTCTTATGATTTATTTCAATAAACCATTTCAATGTTCACATCATAATTAATTTCTTCATTTATTCTTGATTTGGGTCTGTACTTAGGTTCCCAATCAAGACCACACAAATAGTCAATAAATTGGATTTATCTCTATGAGATTTATCCTGATTATGATATGGGATATCGAAACATATTTTTATCGGCCCAAAGCCCATAACAATTTATTTTAACTAAAACAAATTTGATTTATTTTAATAATTATCTATTAATAATTCTAAGGTATGTTTTGGGGCGTTACCGACGTAGAGCCCGAGATCCTATCCGTTCCGACGAAGCCCGGTGAGGATTTGAATGTTTTCCTCATTCAAATAAATGTCCACCCCGTTGACGTTAGGGATCAACGCTCCGTCCTCATCCTTTTTCAAGTTCGAGTGGAAAGCTCGAACAAGAAAAGGGTGATAATGAGCCTTCTTGATGTAGAGGAGGTCGAGGAAGTTTCCACGTTCGAGAATAACCCGTGCCTCACGTGGAATGAAATCATGAATGAAGCGAGCGGTGGAGAATCGGGGAGGGAGAATTTCCCAGGGCTCAAACTTCTCCGAGAACCGCGTCGCCTCTACGCGGTCGTTGAACCAAAGGAACGACCCGTCGAGGTACTTGTACGTCGATGGTGGAGGAGCTGAGGAGGCGACATTCTTGCCAGTGCGGGAACGCTTTCTTTGACCGCCTGCCATTTCAACAAGAGAGAGGAGAGAACAAATTTGCAGAAATTTTATATATATAAAAAAGAAGAACTATTGCAAGAATGATTAATTATGATGAATATATTGAGAGAGGATGATTGGAATGAGTAAATATTGAAGGGATATCACCAATTTATAGTGGAGGAGGCCAGAAGATCCGTTGGTGTGGTCAAATGTGAGTTTAATGCAGTTCCAACGGTTAGAAAACAGTCAGATTTTTGAAAATCTGCCGTTGGTAATCGATTTACCCAACTTGTAAATCGATTATTTGAGTCTTCAGATTCTCCGCCGAAAGATCTGCAGACTTCAATAGTCGATTTACACAATACGTATAATCGATTTACGATGGTTTGCGCCTGATTTGCTTCAAACTTCTGTGGGCAGTGATAGTCGATTATCCTAATGTTGATAATCGATTGTTGGCTCCTTCAGTTTCTTTGCTCCAATCTTCCGCGGGCTATGATAGTCGATTATCACAACCTGAAAATCGATTTATACCAAGTCCGGAGACAAAAAATCGATTTACTTTGTTCCCCCTGACTTTGACAATTGAAAATAAAATTAAAAGAAGAGCCCTGCAAAAAAGAGTTAAAAACGTCTCTGACGTTCAAGTTAGTAAGGATAAAAAATGATATTTAATGCACAACTTAGATCATCGTGGAGTCAAGGATTCTGAGTTCACTAGGAATGCGGAAGAACGACTCTTTCTCTAAAGGTTTTGTGAAAATGTCTGCTAATTGGTTGTGTGTTTCAACGAACTCAATTTTGACATCATCTTTGAGAACATGATCTCTAATGAAATGATGCCTAATGTCAATATGTTTCGTCCTTGAGTGAAGAACAGGATTCTTCGTCAAGCTTATGGCGCTAGTATTATCACATCGAAGAGGGACGTGATCGATACTAAGGCCATAATCCACAAGTTGTTGCTTCATCCAAAGGATTAGAGCACAACAACTACCGGCGGCAACATATTCCGCTTTGGTTGTGGATAACGCAACACTGACTTGCTTCTTGCTAAACCATGAGACTAAAGAACTACCAAGAAAGTGACACGTCCCACTCGTACTTTTACGGTCTAACCTACAACCGGAAAAGTCCGAGTCGGAATAGCCAAAAAGATGACAAGAAGACCCTTTGGGGTACCATAGTCCAACGTTCATTGTACCAACAAGATATTTTATTATCCGTTTCACCGCCGTTAAGTGTGATTCTTTCAGACAAGATTGATACCTTGCACATAAACAAACGCTAAACATGATATCGGGTCTACTAGCGGTAAGATAAAGAAGGGATCCGATCATACCTCGATACTTCTTTACGTCTACTTCCTTACCCTTTTCATATTTGTCCAGGTGCTCGGAGGTGCTCATTGGGGTAGCCATTGCTTTGGAGCCATCCATTTCAAATCTCTTTAGGAGCTCCTTGCAATACTTTGATTGACAAATGAAGGTCCCTTCCCTCATTTGTTTGACTTGTAACCCCAAGAAGAAATTGAGTTCCCCCATCATGGACATCTCAAATTCATTTTTCATTAAGTTTGAAAATTCCTTGCACAAAGATTCGTTAGTAGCACCGAATATAATGTCATCTACGTGAACTTGCACCAAGAGGATGTTATCATTTTTACTCTTGATAAAAAGTGTAGTGTCAACCTTTCCCCTTTTGAACCCGTTGTCCAAAAGAAATTTGCTCAAACGTTCATACCAAGCACGAGGTGCTTGTTTAAGACCGTAGAATGCTTTCTTTAGTATATAGACATACTCCGGGTGCTCAAAAACCTCAAAGCCCGGGGGTTGATCAACATACACTTCCTCTTGAATAAAACCATTGAGGAAGGCACTCTTAACATCCATTTGGTATAGTTTAAATGTAACGCCACAAAATATGGCCTAAAATTTATTATAAAACAAAAGTTGTTTTATCCAATAAGGAATATTTGTGCGTTTGACTAAAAATAAATGGATTTTCAAAATAATGACTTTTTTTAAAAAAGTTATATTTATGGATATGTCTCAAAGAGACGAATCCAACGGTACATTTTATAAACCAATCTGATTTGTAGATTTCAAGTTATGTCAATTTTAAATAGTAAAATTTGTAACTTTGACCCATAAAATAAACTAAATTCAAAAGTGATTTCATCAGATTAGAAATCATAATTTTGACACTTGACAATATCATATTTATCATTTGGATTTAATTCATATATTTTTATCTCATTCATATTATTATATTAAATTATGACNTTTTGACAGTCTGATTCCAAAAATACAATTTGTTTTCAATTCGGAACAGTTTGGGCGAAAAAGCGCGTACCGTTTTAGTCAGTTTATCAGTTACGGAGTAAGAAAATAAATTTGATTCCCCAAAATCCTCCAAGTCACGTAGAGACACTCCCATCCCTTCCAATCCTCAATCAAACCAACCCCACTACCATATACCTCCAATTCCTTTTCCCTATAATATCACCCTACCATTACCATCATCATCATAATCTTCACCATCATCCACCATCATCAACATTCATCTTCTCCTCTCCATCTCTCCCTCTCTCTGTCGGCAGCAACAAGAAGAAGAAAAGAAAACTCCAACTCCATGGTAGTATGTTAAGGAAGAAGAAGGAGCAAGAAAACCATCCAAAGTTTCCAAATTTTGAGTCCAAAAACGCAGCAGCAACTTCAAGGTAAAAACTGAAATTTTCCATCCATTATCTCGAAATACTTCTTGAACCAAAGTTGTAGCCCCGGACGTTACGAATCCAACCCAACAAACGGCTCGCGATTTCGTTGAGTAACGAAGAAGATATGGCCAAAATACCGGGACTGCGCCAGTGGTGGCGAGCTCCTCGGGTTGGCATGTTTTTTCTTCACCAAAATTCATATTATTTCATCCCAAATACTTATCATAAACTCTCTAACAATTATTAGGAACATCCGGAAGGTATTGCAAAGAAAGTTCGGCGTTGGAATGTTGAAGTTAGTGAGTTAATCGTCGGAATCATGTTCATCGACATACCCGAAATTCTGGACAGCAACTTTCTAGTGACTTCAGGTCCAATTTACGCTATCTTACATATGTTAAAACGAAATACTTTCTATACGAAAGTTATAGCCTTACGTCTTAGAAATCCACAGAATCAAACGGTTTGCGATTCCGTGAAGAAACGATGGAGATATGCTCAAAATACCGCAGGCTGTCCAATTGTGACGGGAATGACAAAGTTGGTGAATTTCGATATTGTTTTCACTCCCGCTCATCCGTAAGGTTTCGGCCGATGATTTCCAGGTCTGTACCTTTGCGTTAGACTTATCGAATCATTCATTACATACATACATGAACATATATGTTTCATATGTTAAAACCATTCCAAAATATATATGTGATGCATATATAAGTTATCTATATGTTGAGATCAAAATACACCAAATCCATAAAGTTAATATGCACATAATTAAATTTAAACTTTGGAAATCAACCCAACAATATGTATATGTTAATCAAAGGTGCTTAAAAGACTTAAAGAAGTATTTTGGACACTCAAAATATCAAGAGAAAGGTTCGCAGACCCAAACGGTCGATGCAAACGATCGACCGTCGTGTTAAAAATCGAAACGGAACAAGACTGTCAGATCAACGGTCGACCGCCGGTGGCCAACGGTCGACCGTCGCCTGTCTAGCCAAGTGCCGCCGTCCACCTCTAGTCAACAACGGTCGACCGCCGGTCAACCGCGGTCGACCGTCACGGTGAATCTCCAATCCGACCTGATGAAGATCAAGGTCGACCGTCGCGCCAAACGGTCAACCGTTCCGAGCCCCGTAGCTTAATTAAATGATATTTTAATCATGTTTCATCCAAATAAACTAATGCATGATTATATATTCATATTGTTTACAAATTGTTCATGTCATATCATTCATTTCATCACACATATTGTAGCATATCATATCAGATGCATGCGTAAGAGATCATGCGTAATTGCGTCTCTTATAGCGTGATGTGCGGGACTTACTAGTCCGACATCACCCGTTCCGGGCTTAGTGTACGTACATGGTATTCAGGTTTCGAGTACCACCCATATTTTTTCTAGTCTCACCTCATTCGTGAGACTAAGGCCGCGTGAGTTCGTCATACCAAATGGGCGAATCTCATAGCGCAAGGGTGTCCTTGCTCGTTAGAATCATGCATCATGTTATCATCATCAAGTACATTGATTACATAGGTGTCGTGTAATCATCATCAAGAACAATTATATTGATTACATAGGTGTCATGTAATCGTCATCAAGAATAATTATACTGATTAAATATGCCATCAGGTAATCATCATCAAATGTCCACCATCATAAATCATCAAATTGAACATACGATATAATGTGCCATATCATGAATATTATTATACATTTTGTGGACATATATATATGTATATGTATATGTCTATGAATTGTTCTACAATTCTAGCGTGGTACCACTCAGCGGTTTCGCTGAGCGTGTAGTTTGTATTTTTCGTTGACTACACGTAGGTAACAAGAAGACAATGATGGAACCACTCCCGGAAGGCATTGAGTCAGAGGAGATGCAAGGATGGCAGGAAAATGTTGATCATCAGATTTTTAAATGTGTCATGATTTGATTATTTTTGTACTTCCGCATTACTCTGAAAATATTTTTTTTAAATGGGTCGCGATCCAGAGCCTGTAAATTTAGTATTTATAAGTAGTTGTCATTTTCAAATGTCAAGCGAAATTTTTATTTAACTCTCGTTTCACCTTAATTCGTGTAATTCCGGGTTATACGGATTGGGGTGTTACATTAAAATCCATAGATGAAACAAAAGCGAGTAATAAACGAATAGCTTCTAAACGTGCTACTGGTGCATAAGTTTCTTCAAAATCAATGCCTTCTTCTTGATTGTAGCCTTTAGCTACGAGCCTAGCTTTGTTTCTAGTGATTATTCCATTTTCATCGAGTTTGTTATGGAACACCCATTTTGTACCAATTATGGTGTGATCATTAGGTCTTGGCACCAATTCCCAAACGTCATTTCGTTTGAATTGGTTAAGCTCCTCTTGCATTGCCAAGGTCCAATGTTCATCATCAATTGCTTCCGAAATGGTTGTAGGTTCAATTTGAGAGACAAAAGCCATGTCACCTACAGTGTCCCTATGAGAGCTACGAGTACTTACCTTTCGGTTGATGTCACCGATCACCTTGTCAAGAGGATGGTTCTTTGAAGTCCTCCATGCCCTTGGCATTGGCATTTCCTCCTCTTGTGGTTGTTCCTCGTTTACGGGTGGCTCTACTTCTTCATCTTGGCTTTCCTTTGAGTTGTCTACTTCGTCATCGTCGTTGAGATAGATGTTCTCCAAGCGAAACCTTTCTCGCCAAGCGAGCATCATTTTCGGAAAAGACAACATGAGGAGATTCCTCAACGGTTATGGTGCGTTTGTTGAAGACTCTATAAGCCTTACTATGCAATGAATAACCAAGAAAAATTCCTTCATCCGACTTTGCATCGAATTTACCCAAATTATCTTTTCCGTTATTGTGAACAAAACATTTGCAACCAAAGACTCGAAGATGGGAGAGGTTTGGCTTTCTTCCTTTGTATAATTTGTATGGGGTTTTCATGAGTATCGGTCTAATGACAGCTCGGTTTAACACGTAGCTCGCGGTACTCACGGCATCCGCCCAAAAATACTTAGGAATTTTTGCCTCATCAAGCATAGTTCTAGCCATCTCCTCAAGGCAACGATTTTTACGTTCCACCACGCCATTTTGTTGTGCTGTACGTGGAACGGAGAAGTTATGCTCGATGCCTAGTTCGTCACAAAACTCGGTAAAGAGATCTCGTTCGAACTCTCCACCATGATCGCTTCGTATGGCTACGGTGGTTAAGCCTTTTTCATTTTGAACCTTTTTGAGAAAAGTTTTGAAAACATGAAATACCTCACTTTTATGAGTTAGAAATAATGTCCATGTGAATCGAGAGTAGTCATCAACAATCACAAAGGCGAAATAATTTCCCCCAAAACTTTTTGTTCTTGATGGTCTTAAGAGATCCATGTGCAAAAGTTGTAGGGGCCTTGTTGTAGACACAACATTTTTCGATTTAAATGAGGCCCTTACTTGCTTGCCCTTTTGACATGAATCACAAATGGTGTCCTTCTCAAACTTGAGTTTTGGAAGGCCAACTACTAGGTCTTGTGAAACCAATTTATTCAAAAGGTTCATGTTGACATGAGCTACTCTACGATGCCATAGCCACATATCGCCCTCCTTACTCATGAGACATTTTGCAAAGTCGGAGGGAGATTCATCTAAGTTAACCATGTAAATGTTATCAATTCTATCACCATGAAGAATCGTCTTATTATCACTAAGACGTTCTACCGTACATGATTTAGAATCGAAGGTCACACGATTTCCCTTGTCACACAATTGACTTATGCTCAAGAGATTGTGTTTAAGACCCTTAACCAACAAAACATTATCAATAGAGGAGTTTTTGTTTTTACCAACCGAACCAATGCCGATTATCTTGCCTTTGCTATTATCGCCAAAGACAACGTTTCCTCCTTTAGTTGGTTTGATTTGCAAAAACTTGGATGCATCTTCGGTCATGTGCTTGGAGCATCCGCTATCAAGGTACCAAAGTACACTTGATGCCTTAAAGCACACCTACAAATCAATTTACAAATATTTAGGTACCCAATTCCTTTTGGGTCCTTGGGCGTATTGGTTTTGAGTGCAATGCCTATGCTTAGTGAAAAAAACCGGGGCTATATGTCCTACCCTATTGCAATAATGACAAATAACATTTGGATTATGCATTCTCCTAGGTTGATAATAGTTACTAGGTTTTCTATATTGATTGAACCTAGTTTGAGAAAAGTTTTGTTTATGCACATTTGGAAAATGGTTTCTAGGTTCTCTAACTTGACCATTGTTTATCCTAGTGTTCTTTTTAGGTGGTCTAGTGTTCCTGGTTGATGTAGGTTGTCTATTATTGTTCATTTTAGTTTTCCTAGGTTGAGCCTTAGGTTGTTTAGGTGGTTGCTCAACTTTTTCCTTATTATTGGTTTCATTTTCAAATCCTAATCCATGTTTAGTAAGTTGCAAATTATCCAGAACATCATTGAGATTTTTGTGAGAAACACCAAACTTCTTTAAGGTTCCTTCAAGTTTTGCAACTTGTTCTTTAAGTGATGTACATGAACTACATTTTGAACTCTCCGGTTTGTCGACGCTTCTTTTTCCGAAAAACTTATTTTCTTCCTTGAGTTTTTCATTATCTTTTGATAATTTATCAACTAGCCTTGAGTGCAATCCCCTTCTTCTTTTGTTCACCTAAAGAAGGGAATAGAATGGTGGACTCATAGGTTTTGAGGTTACCTCTAAGCCCGTCAATGGTGACGTTGGTGATGCCAATGGACTCTTGGATGGCATCGGCTTTGGAGCGCCATTCCGGTGTGAGACTTCGCAGGATTTTTCTCACAAGCTCCTTGTCCGTGTACGTCTTCTTGAGAGCATGAAGATCATTGACGATTTTGGAGAATCGTTCAAACATCTCATCGATTTTCTCGTTTTCCTTCATACGAAACAATTCATATTCATGGGTTAGAAAATCAATTTTAGCTTCTCGGACTTGATCCGTACCTTTGTAGGTGATTTCTAGTTTGTCCCACATTTCCTTCGCGGTGGTGCAACAAGAAATCTTCCGGTAGTCATTCGGGTTAACGGCACAATAGATGATGTTGATGGCCTTGGCATTGTTTTCCACTTTCTTGATGTCTTGTGCATCATATTCATTCTCGGTCTTAGGGATGTTGGTTTCCCCGACCTTCTTCATTGGCACGTCTTCACCATTTTTGATAATTCTCCAAAGGAGAAAGTTGGTGGATTGGATGTAAATCCTCATCCGCTCCTTCCAATAGGTGTAGTTTGTTCCGTCAAACAGCGGAGGCCTCGTGGTGGTTTGCACTTCACCTAAACCTGCGTATGAACTTTGAGTAGAAGCCATTGATCGTTTCTCTCAAACGGTTAAGTCTTTCAGAGAGTATGGCTCCGATACCAATTGTTAGAATAAAGGCCTAACGCTAGAGGGGGGGTGAATAGCGTTTAAAACAAAATCGCAGGAAATTAAAACGAGAGCGCTAAAGTAAAGAGCGTAAGGAAGGAGCACACCGAATTTTATCCTGGTTCACCACAACGTGTGTCTAATCTAGCCTCCCGAGAGACTCTCTCGAGCAACACTAACTCCGTTAAGCTTAAGGTGCTTAACAAACTGATACAACTTGAGAACCCGAGTCACACGAGCCTCAACGCCTTTGCTCGGAGATACCGCACTCCAAGACTTGTCACGGAGGAACAAGGAACTTCCTTCGAGTTTACAACAAGGGAACAACCTCCCTTAAAGTGTATGAAAACACTTAAACACTCAGGAATAAAACTCTCACAAAGAGTAGATATGAGTGAACTAGTAAATGCTCAAGAACACGACAATTTTTCAAGAATTAACTCTCAAATAGCTAAGAAAAGATAGGAATGCTTATGCAATGAAAGAGTATTGAAATGTTGAAGAATTGTGTGTAAAATGAGAGGATTTGGGTGCCATTTTATAGCCCAAAATGGGATAAAACCGTTGCTAGATTTTCCAACAGGATGAAGACAAATTTTTCAGAGTTGCAGGGTGATAGTCGATTGTCTAGACATGATAATCGATTATTAAAAGATTCCCTGTCCAAAAGTTTAAAAATCTATCCGTTGGAGGACAACGGTAACCCAGATAATCGATTGTCAACAAGTGATAATCGATTATTGGTCCTCTCAGAAGTTTCTGGGTTTTGGCTGCACAGACTGATGATCGATTATTGCAAATTGTGATAATCGACTAATGCCTACTTCAGAACTTTGGAGTTCAAAGCTGCAGAGGCAGATAATCGATTTTCACCAAAGTGATAATCGATTATCACCTAGCTAAAGTCTAGCCAGCTGAAACCCGTTTTGAAAAACCGAGGTCCAAAAACAAAGTGTTCCCAAAAGTAAAAACCAGGTTTGAAAAACATTGTATATGGTATAAAATAGTGAAAACAAGACTTGTTCGGTAAAAACCAAGTCTCCAAGGTCGTACATCACGTGCGTACGATTTTGACCATTTTTCACGTGTTAGACCGATTGACCAAGATACAAAAGTGGTTTTTATAAAATAATTATTTGGGAACATTTTAAATATGCTCAGATATAAAAACGAGGTTTAAAACATTGAAAACCACCGAGTTGGTTCGGGCGCCAAAAACCGAACGCCGAACCCCGAATGCCGTACGCCGATGCCGAACACCGACCTAGGTGGTTTTGGTTCTGAGCAAGGACCAGGGATTTAAACACAATAAAAAGTTATTAAAAATGTTTATTTTAATGCACAAAAACATTTTATGAAATTGTAAAATAATTTTGACTCTTTGAGAACCGAGACTTGAATTGATTGTCGGTTTTGATCACAAAAGACCGACTCGACTACGTCTTCAATTCTTGATCTTGTCCTTGAGTCATTAGGTCTTGTTCCATGCCATTCTTCACGCCTTGACCCAAAAACCTCATTGTTTTTCTTGGGACTTTATTCTGAAAGATGGCAAGTGTATACTTTATAAACCCGCATTGAGTCTTATGCTCTTTTCTTGGTAAAAAATGACTTTTAAAATGTTTGAAATCCTTCTAGGAATCCCGTAGAATTTTGTTTTCTAGAACTGGCCATCCACATACTATCTAGATGCTGCCTAATCAACCATTGCTTGATATTAAAATCTGAAAAAAAACAGAGAGAAACCAGTTTTAGGAGCCTTTTATTTTTAGAAAATTGAGTGATTTTTATATTTTTAGGCTTATTGATGAACCTTGCTACCACTGCTATTGAGCCGTTCTAAGCCATAGGATTCCGCTAGGAAACTTTTTTGTAGCAGCTTTAGAGCATTTGTTAGAACCCAAAAATCCACACCTTAGTTCACCATCCTTGTAGGATTTCTAGCTCACTTTGTTTTTAAAATTTGTATGAGCATAAAGTCTTAAGTGTGGGGGTTTAAAGTTTACTTTGTTTTTTCTTGATGATGATAAAAAGAAATAATGTGCACTTTTGGCCCTTGAATGAGGACGTTCAACTCTTAAGTGTGGGGGTATTTGATAACTCAGGTTTGGGTTAATATTTTTAATTCTCTTTTTGGCAATTTTAGTATGTTTATTGTTTAATTTTTATTTGTTTAGCTTAGTTTTATTTTAATTCCTATTTTTACAAACCTTTTATTTCCATTCAAAAATAGTTGTTTTTAATCATTTTTTTACATGTTATTATTTTAATATTTTTATTTTTCCTAACCCAAGTTACCAGATATCTTATTCTGTGAAGAAAAAAGTGCAGCAAACGGGCCAGATTGAAGTTCAAGTTGGAAAGAATAGATTGAATTTAGGCCGGAGCCCAAACATATTATGAATAAATAAAATGAGGATAAGCCCATCTCACTCATTCTCATTTCAACGGCAAAGAAAAAAAAGTGGTATGTGCGACTCCTTCATCCAGCGCAAGCGAGAAAGAAGAAGAAAAAAATCAGCGGCGAAGCATTCAAACTGCTTCAAATCGGAAGTAACGTCTCTCCATCAATTTCGTCATTCAATTGCCAACGGGAAGAAATCAACTGAGCAATCCTCCGGCTATAAATTGAAGAACAATCACAGCTGAACGAAGGGGGGAAATATCACCAAGAGAGCCGCGGGCAACTGAAATTGAAGCCGCGTACCAGAGTAGGAAGCAGACTGCGGCGGACCACTGCTCCCAGCGGACGACGATGGTGGGCAGCAACTTTTCTTCAAGCTCCAATCCCTTAATTTCTTCATCTTCTTCAACAAAGTGGTAACCCTAGCTTGTTTCTCCAATTTTGTTCTCCAATTCTTTGTAAAGTGTTGTTTTTAGTTTAATTTTTACATTTTTGTTTATCTGTTTGTGTTAATTTCAAAAATTCCAAAATGGTTGGTGTTCTTTTATGGGTATTTTCTTTAATGTTTATATATATTCCCTTATGAATGAGAATTGATTCTTTCTTATTTACTTCAATTATTGCACAAGTTGTTAAATTGGTTGGATTGTTTCAAATTCATAAGTAGGTTGTTATGTAGAATTCGGTTTTTGTTGAAGCTATTTTGGCTCCATAAGATAGTTAAATGAACTCCGAATTCATACGTGTTTCTTTGTTGTGCTTGTGTTCGTTGATTTTAAGGATTTTGGACTTCTTAGCCCCATAAGTTGATTCATTTTCCTTAGAATTCGTTATAGAGTGATTTTGTTATGTTATGTGTTTGTTTTCCATTTTCTTTAAATTGAGATTGTTTAAGTGCAATAAACAATTCTTGATTTATTGAAAATACGTTGTGTTCTTCTATGTGAATAGAAAAAAACGTCATTGGTTTGAGAAGTTCATGGAAATCTGTGAAATGTGCTCATCATTAGGAGAAAAAGTTTGTTAAAATGCATAAGGTATTGGCGGTTTGTGAATAGATTATGTATGAGAGTTGAATGCATAATAGATTCTTTCTTTTATAAATTTTTTCTATAGTGGAAGTATGTTCTTATGCTTGAATAGAGAGTTGGGGTTCTAAGGTATATTTCAAAACGGGCCTTTAAATTGCATGACTCCGGGCCGTGTGGAGAGTTGACAATCCTCCATATCGTGGTTAAGGAAATGAATCGACTCAGCCTTTGATTGATTTTTCTATTCTTAAGTGTGTAAGTTACGTAATATATTGTCTAAGTGCCTATTATACGTGTAATGTTCAATTTGTTTTTGTTCTCTTTTTCATTTTGTTTTGGGTTCTTGGTGGTGTTTCTTGGGTTACTTTTGTTGGAGGAGTTGATTATCTTTAGAGCTTGTTTTCCCCCATTTTATCAAAAAAAACCAAAAAAATAAGAAAATACATAAAAACCAAAAATATTTACTTTTCATTCAACCCCCCCTTTGTGTTATATAAGTATAAGTTTTATTTATTAAGTGTATATTATAAGTACTTGTTTATAAGTTATAAATATAAGTTCTTTATACTATATTTTTAGTATGTGTTTTATGTTTACAGTTATAATATAGTTCTTCGTTTATAAGTTAAATTTATAAGTTTTTATATTTATTTAGTTATAAGTTTTATTATAAGTTTTATACGTCTTATTATATATGTAGTAGTTTTTTTGTGACAATGTGTTTGCATACTATTTTGATTTCAAAAGCACAAATTTTCTCCGTGGGATCGACCCTTACTTGCCCTAGCTATAGTTTTTAGGGAGAAAAACCAAAATAGCACTCTAAGAGCATTAAAATACTCTAAATAGCAGTGCTATATGTTTCATACATGTAATTCCGATTTTGTCCTTTAATTAAACAGTATATGTTCATTATTCACTGCCAAAAAATATGATTATTTTGGGCAGTGTGGTTGTTCACTCGTAATTGTGTAGTGGGCAGTGTAGTTTTTTATATGTGAGTTTTTTATGTGGCAGTGTAGAATGAATATATGTTGTTATATCTTACGGCGATGTGTAAATGTATTATTGTGTTCCTTAATTTCATGTTGTAGTGTAATGTCCATTGATTTATGTGGCAGTGATTTCACGTATTAATTCTACACTGTCAAAAAATGTATGACTAATTTCATCTATGAATTCCACACTGTCCAAAAAATGTATAGCTCTTTTTATGTATGAATTCCACACTATTTTCATGTATGAATTCCACACTGCCAAAAATGTATATGATTGTTTTCATTTATGAATTTCACACTGCCCAAAAATGTATG